AGGAATAACAAGTGTAATATCCAGTAAAGCAAAGCTTAAGTATATAACACCAACACATGTTACAACTGCAACCGCCCCGACCACTATGCTAACGTCTGCCCCGAGCCCAAGAAGCAGCAACAGCAGCCTTTCCCCCACCAGCATCAGCAGCAGCTTCCCCCACTGCCACCTCTGAGCAGCAGCAGCCCAGACAACCCCAACCTTACAGGCAGAGGGTGGATGGTCAGGCCCGCGTCTATACCTTCACTCATGACGAGGCAGGGAATAATACAGGTACCATGTCTGGAATGCTCTTTATATCTAATGTACTCGTATATGCCTTGTGTGATATAGGAGCCACCCATTCATTTATCTCTTCTCAATGCCTTAAGGCTTTGTCTCTTAGTAATGTGTTTAAGGTTGATCCCCTTGAGGTTAGTCTAGCCTCGGGAAAAATTATTGTCTCTTATTCTTTGATTTGGGCCTTCAAGTTAGTATTGGTGGACGAGTTATAGAGGCTAACACTTATGTGATTGACATGAGAGACCTCGACGTGATTCTGGGAATGGATTGGCTCACATGTTATCGAGCAGACATTCAGTGCCAGGAGCGAGAAGTCACCCACTTTCCCGATTCTGATCAGCCTGTGGTGTTCTATGGGGTGAAGTCGAGGACTGTGCCTCGAGTCATCTCTTCTATGCAAGCTAGGAAGAGCCTTTATAAGGGTAGTTGTCAAGGCTATATCATGAGTATGGTGTCCGATGATTCTTCCGAGCGAACTCTGGAGAGAGTCTCTATTGTTTGTGAATACCTTGATGTTTTCCTTGTTGAGTTACCCGGAGGACCGCCTGATCGCCAGGTCGGTTTCAGAATTGACTTAGTACCAGGAGCTGGTCCCGTATCGAAGGCCCCCTACCGTATGGCTCTGAAGGAGCTTCAAGAGCTCAAGGCCGAGAGCCAGGAATTGCTCAAGCTCGGTTTTATTCGACCGAGTGTTTCTCTGTGCGGAGCGCCAGTCCTTTTTTGTCGAGAAGAATGATGGGTCGATGTGCATGTGTATTGACAATCGTGAACTGAATTCCCTTACCGTCAAGAACAAGTACCCTCTTCCTCGCATTGAGGATCTCTTCGACCAGTTGAGGGGAGCCACCATTCAAACTTAGCAATGCCCCGCCAGTGTTTATGGACCTTATGAGTAGGGTCTTCCATCCTTATCTAGACCAGTTTGTTATCGTGTTCATCGACAACATCCTGGTGTATTCTCGGGACATTGACCAGCACAAGGAGCATTTGAGGATTGTCGCCGCGATAAGTTGTATGAAAAATTCTCGTAGTGCGAATTCTGGCTTGATCGTGTGGCATTCCTTGGCCACATTGTGACGGCTAGAGGTATTGAGATGGATCTCTACAAGATTGAGGTGGTAAGAAAGTGAGAGACACCATGAAGTGCCAGTGATGTACGTAGTTTCCTGGGGTTAGCAGGATACTACCAGAGATTTATCAAGGGCTTCTCGAAGATAGTCCAACCGCTAACCAACCTTACGAAGAAAGCTGAGAGGTTCGATTGGAGTCTTAGGTGTGAGGCGTGTTTTTAGGAGCTGAAAGAGAGACTCACCACCGCACCAGTCTTGTCCATACTCGACCCTACTTTGGAGTTCACTATCTATAGTGATGCTTCGAAGATGGGCTTCAGTTGTGTTCTGATGCAGCAGGGGAGAGTCGTGGCCTATGCTTCAAGGCAATTGAAGCCTCACGAGAAGAACTACCCCACTCATGACTTAGAGTCAGCCGCAGTGGTTCGCTTGCAAGATCTGGAGGCATTACCTTTATGGAGAGAAGTGCAAGATTTTCACGGACCATAAGAGCCTAAAGTACATCTTTACTCAGAAGGAGCTCAACATGCGGCAGTGTAGATGGTTAGAGTTGGTCAAGGATTACGATTGCAACATTAGCTACCATCCTGGGAAAGCTAATGTGGTAGTCGATGCTCTTAGTCGGAGGAGTTATGGCCAGCTGTCTTGCCTATTCACCGGGCAAGATGTCTTACTTTGGGAGTTTGAGCGACTACAGTTGGAGGCAGTAGAGTCGACTTTGATAGTAGGTGGTATGTTGACCACTTTGGTCGTGGGACCGACTCTTCGGGAAAAAATAGTCGCTGCGTAACGCCCCGTATTTTATTAATAAAGGAAAATACTAGCTTTTAGTTTTTGTAATAACCCAACTTCTTGTTAATATAAATGATGTATTATCTTTTATTGATTCCGTTCATTTTCAGCGAATAAGTTCGACGTTAAGTCGAAAAGTTTATCCGGTTAATTATTAACCGAGTCCAATTGATAATTATTTTCCGAACCGTTTATTTTATAAGCAGACATTATTAATCGGGATTAATTATTAATAGTTTAGCATGTTCGGAATTAAGTTCGAGGTTGAAACTAAGCCAAGTTTAGAAAGAACGCAAGGTACACGAAGCATACGCATGTACACGCACTCATGCACGCATGCCGTGCACACAACCACGCACATGAACGCGCATCGCGCGCAGCACTGCGCATCGCGCCTTAGCGCGCGCGTTAAGTACTCGCTAAGCATGCACTTAGGCGATGCTTAGTGACATGATCAGACCAAACTTCCACCTTAATATTACCGTGAGGAAAAATGCAAGGATAAAGGTTGGGTGTGCAAGTGGGGTGATGAATCACCTATGTGCTTGCACACACGGCGCGCCACGGACGCACGGGCAATGACTAAGCCCGTGCATGGCCGCCACCTCGGCAATGACTAAGCCAAACTCACCCACATTATGCCACTTGGTTTTAGGAGACACAAGGTCATCAATCACCTCCTTTCACCCCAAATTAACCCACGGTTTTACTCCTTTAAATAACCGAGCATGTGGAACGTTTTCCTCATGCATTTTCACGTTAGTTCAGCCAACTTTCAGCGTACTAAATAGAGAGAAAATAGTAAGGAAATATTGTAGAAAAATAGTGTAAAAACAGTTGAGCATTGCCGAAGCAAGGGGGAAGCAAGTACCCACGCATTCAAGCACTGAAACCGCACGCAAGTCATCGTGCAATCCTCGTCCAAACTGAAGGGTACATTCTTATTTACCCTCTTTTTATGTATTTTAGTTCATTGTAAGGAGATCGTGTCGATGTCATGTTTTTCGGTCCAAGTTCTTTTAGCAAAATGGCCTCGGAGTTGCTACATAAGCCCTCCCGAGTGATTTCTGTTTTTAACCGGCAAGTCCCGAACTCTTATTGCATAATTATGTTATTTAAGTCAAAACATGATCAGTCATATGTGGACTGCCGGAGAAAGTAGCCGGACGGCCGGCGAAATGCCGACCGTGATGCCAACCGCACGCGGAGTGCGCGCAGGCACGCCCGGTAAGCTAGCAAGTGCACATGCAACGTCCGTGCGCCCAGTAACGCGCACGCGTGCCTAGCACTCGGCAGCCAAGTGTCGCGATGCCGCAGTCGTGTGCGTAGACGTGCACAGTGCACGCACACACACACGGCAAGGCGTTACCGCGACCGTCCACCCAGTCCACGACACAGCAACGCGTCTCACGCCCAGCAGCGTGTCCCGCGGTGCATGTACGCATGCCAGTAGCATACCACGCATGCTGGCCCGTCACCCCGCATGCCAGCACGCCCAGCAGCGTGCCAGCGATGCACAGCAGGCCTCGGCGTCGCCCGACAGCACGTCCGAGTGCCCAGTCAGCCCAGCACGCGTAGCCAGCATGCCAGTCGCCTACCCACAGCGCCAGCAGCGCCCGGTAGCGCATGTGCGCGCCAGTACCGTTGCTAGTGTGCACGGTAATGGCCAGTCGAGCCCAGTAAGCATCCAGTCGCCACTGGCTGAGCACAGCAGCACGCCAGTGACCGTCCCAGCGCACGCACGGTGCCACCAGCACCTGCCAGCGCACGGGACCAAGCTGGCCAGCAGCGCCCAGTCCGCGCCCAGCGCGCGCGAGCGACTTAACCGGTGGTCAGCCAGCAGCCGACCGCCCGGCCACAGCGAGCCGGCAGTCCGGCCAGAAAATGAACCGGCCGGTTTAGACCGGTTTGGGAGTTGTTCAGTATTTACTGACCCGGTTCGAGTCCAGTACAGTATTTCAGTTAATTTTTCAGTCCAGTTAGTCCAGCATACCGGTATCAGTTCAGTCCGGTTTTTCTTGTCAGTTAAGTTAAGTCCCGAGAATATTCCAGTTAAATATTTAGATCGAGTCGAGCATCTTAACAGTTATTTTCAGTCAGTCTGAGCGTAGTACTTAGTATTTGTCTATTTATATATTTTTACAGAGTAGTCAACAGCAGCACTTACATTATCAGTACAGGTGGGGACTCAGACTGGGTATTACATTGGTTATAATTGCTCTATCATGTTTTAAGGTATGTATATCAGTTATTCCACTTTGGGTGGAGGTGCAGTAGCCTTAATTGCCCATCCAAAGTTCTGGTGGAGGCGCAGTAGCCTTAATTGCCCATCAGAGTGTGCACATGGCCAGTTCAGTACAGACCTCGCGTTTGGAGATTACAGTTTATTTATATATATTTGGAGTCATGATATTGGTATTATTATTGATGTTTACTTTAGTATGAGTTTCTGCGGAGTACAGTGTTCATAGTACTCACGCTCCCACTATTATATTCCTTTTCAGGAGACAGGGTCGGTCCGGAGGAGTGAGTGGAGCTGGTGGTCCCCGGTCCAGCATATGTAAATATGTTTATATT